AATCCCAGCACTTGGGAGGCAGAGGCAGGTGGATCTCTGCGAGTTCAAGAACAGCCTGGTCTGCAGAGCGAGTGCCAGGACAGGCTCCAAAGCTACACAGAAAATACCTGTCTGGAAAAAACAACAAACAAACACAAAAAAAGTATTTCTGAGAGCAGGAAAAACTGGCCCCTTTGGGCCAGAGCCATCTGCTCACCAGTTATGTTCACATCTCTGGCCAAGGCCACATTTGCTTCTCCGACAGCACTCAGTACAGCACTGTAGTGAAACAGCCAGCTGATACGGTGGTTCACCACGATCTCACGAAGCTTCTTGTAATCCAAGATATCGGCGTAAACAAAGGGGCCTGTAAGCACAGAGTGAGGAGGGCAGCTTCAGTGAAGCTAACTGGATTCCCTGTCCCCTGCCACTGACTTGAGAAAAAAAATCTCATTTTCATTCTCTCACTCTCCCTCCCCCACCTTCCTTTTGGAGCAGAACTAACTCTGTAGTCTAAGCTGTACTGGAACCTTGTGATTGTTCTTCCCCAGCCTTCTGAGCACTGCCTTAACAGCCATGCCCCGTCTTCCAGGTCTGGCTTCCTCAGAAGTCTGTGTTGCTTGTTAGTTATGTATCTCTCTGTGTCTCTCTCTCGCTGTGTGGCTGTATGTGTGTATGAGAGACAGACAGAGAGAGAGAGAGAGAGAGAGAGAGAGAGAGAGAGAGAGAGAGAGAGAGAGAAAGAGAAGAGAGAGACAGAGAGAGAGAGAGAGAGACCCACAGGGGCCAGAAGAGGGTGCAGAAATGGAAGGGGTTGCTTGTGAGAGCAGGTACCTGTGGAGCCCAGACGACAGTCTTGAACAGTCTTGAATCATCTAGAGCTAGAGTTACAAGAGGTTGGGAGCAACCTGACATGGGTGCTGGGAACCAAACTTGGGTACTCTGAACGAGCTCTTAACACTAAGACATCACCTTTCTCCATATTTATCAAACTCTTTTTTCCTCATCAAACTTACATTAAGGACTATCCATATCTTACCACTATGGAAGACATGAGCAGAGGGCTTCTTTAGGTCTGATAAAATCACATTGTCCTTCCCATATCGTTTCCTGTAGGGAAAGAAAGCCCCCCCCCCACAAGTCAGCAACGTCAAGAATACAAGTCTTAGATAACTGATTGTTTCAAACAGGCACTGCAAATCCTGGACCTTCTCCGGTCACCTTCTTTCTCTTTGCTGTTGTCACATACCCCTCAGCTTTGCCTTCCTAAGCTCTGACCTCCTTTTCTTCCCACAGCCCAGTTCTCTCCTTTTGCCCTTCCCCCACTGCACTGGTCACCAAAGCTATCTCCATATCCTAGGCACTTCCTCTTCTCTCTCATTCTTTTACCCTACTGCCTTCAACACTAGATGCCAGCTCCTATAAGCACCGGATCCTGCGGTCTGCTTCCCAGCAACTGAAAGGTTTAAGTGGTTTATTTGGAATGATGAGTCTCACTGTACCCAAGTTAGGACTGAGAGCAACGAGCTGGTGTTGTGAGCAAGAGGCAAACCAAAATGTGTTTTAAGTAGCTATTTAGATGTGACATCTTAGAAGCAGAAAGATGCTGGAGGCAAGAGAACAGATGGCTAATGTTGACAAAGACCACTGTACACTCTTCAGAACCCGATTCTGAAGCTCTTACCTCAAAAGGCTAGCAAGTCCTACTCCCAGCTGGCCAAGACCCCCTAGGTGAAGAAGAAACAAGATGAGACCTGAGTGCAAATCTATTCTCAGAGCACAACAGTGGGATAAAACCCCTCCAGTTGTAGTGGGCTAAAGCCGGGGGCTGAACTAATGCAATTGCTGCAGTTTCGTCTTAGCACCTCAGTGCTCTCAGAGCATAGGATAGCCACTGCCCAGCATGGACAGCTATCAATGCAGGTGAGAGTTTTGGAGGCAGCACTTTCCAGGAAAGGGTGTCTAAGAGCAAGAGGAAAGCAAGAACACTAGAAGAGAATAACACTTGTGCTGGGCCCAGCTCCAAAGAGGGGAGAGCAAGAAGTCATTTGACAAAAGGATAGTGGACAAGCTAGTGTGTTAGTACACACCTTAATCCTAGAACTTGGGAGGCAGAGGTAGGTAGATCTCTTGAGTTCAAAGCCAGACTATAACACAGCCAGAGCTACATAGTAGAGAGACCCTACCTCCAAAACAAAACAAACAAATAAAAAAAAAAAACAGAATCAGAAAGGAGCCACTTAGAAAGAAATGATACTAGCTTCCTAACTTGAAGGCTTAACAACATAATGGATAGAAAGCCAGAACGATGGGCTGGGAACACATTTGGAGGACCACTGTAAATTTCAGGAGAGACACTCATGTGTCAGGAAGATAGAGCAGTGGGACTTCCTGTCAATTAACAAAGGACTAAAACCCTAGAGAAGCTTCTAGTGGAAACAAAGGATGAAAAACTCAGGAGAGCAAGACAGGAAAGGAGTGAAAACATGACAGAGGAGGGAGAGATACAATGTGTCAGTCAAGTGAGAGGTCCTCTCAGTCTGCTTGGAAGCCTTTTGTCAGTCACAACATGGAATGCATGGTGAAGGGGGTGAGGCCAGGCACTGCATATTCCAGAGGAGGATCAATGAGTAGAGTAGATCTGAAAGGGAAGGGCTCAACAGCAACAAGAAGCTCAGGCAGTGCTTATATCCGATCTCATTTCCACTACACATTATTCAGTAGCAGCTGGTGATGGGTGATTCTGGATTTAGGCTGAGGAATTTGGCCTAGGAAAGATGTGTTCTAGAAATGGTGCCCTTCCTATCATTGGGTTTTGTTGCCTTGATCTATTACCTACAAGATGGAAGGAAATCAAGTTCCAGGACAGCTGTTTAGCACCAGATACCTAAGTCCCTTCAGAAAACAAGGTTTTATGGCTATGAATAAGGGAAGCCAAAGATGGAAGATACCAGCCAGAACCATACCATCTTGTAATGCTCCTCCATTTTAGTTGAACTGCTAATTTCTGAAACTGGGAGACTAGGCATTAGACAGGCCCCCTGATAGACAGACAGACAGGATGAGGGTCCATGACAAAGATGGTGAATTTCCAAGATGGATGACTTCTTCCTCACCCTCCTGACCTCAGACAAAAGCCTGGAAGCATAAAACAAAGGCCTTGGGGCTCTCTCTTCCCTCAGTAGGGCCGTGAAGATGCATTGGCTCAACAGATTCAAGGCTGGATCAGGAAATGACACACAGCAGTTGTGGGTCAATCAGCCTTTCTTCAAACTGACCAATCCTAAATCAGGGAAGGAAAACTCCTCAGAGCCTTTAAAATCTCTAGCCCTCCAGAAAAGACTAGATGCCTGGCTTCTAGAGCTCCTCTTCTGTCCACCCCACACCCCACCCCTGACACTGCAGCAGGTCTTTTTCTCTGTGTGCCTGCTGTATGTGTGTTTCATCACTCCTAAGAAAAGTCTTTCTGCAACTGCCTTTCTGTCCACCAACTGCTGTCAGCTGTTTGAGATTTCTCTGCTGCTATCTGTCAAGCTTGAGCATTTTCCTGCCTTTAATTCTCAAATGACAGAGAAAATGAACCCCATCAAGACCATTAGATGGGAACAACACTACAGTCATTTGGTTTTCAGAATTAAAGTCACTTGTCTTTCTGGATTCCTGCTCTCTTCACCTTCATAGCTAATTAATAGACACCTGGAATACAGGTTCATACTTCAGGCTGATAGCCATGTGATGTGACATAGAACCTTTCCCATCCTCTAAAATCTGCAGGAAGAGACTCCCACATTGCCCTTTGTGCCTGAACTTTACTCAGAGCTCCTGCTATGCCTTTGTCTCCTTGTTGACAGTGTTAATGATTCTTCTAATAAATCCCCCCAAACAATCCCTTTGAATCCAAACCCAGAACTTTAAAAAAAAAAAAAAAAAGGCTGTGTCTGATCAAAAAAGGGTTGCCATCGCAATGAAAAATTATTTGTGATGGCATGCCTTACTCAGAGACCCTTTTCACAGTGCAGCCATTAAATCTAGCTTTGGCGCTCTCCCGGAAGCCTGCTCTGATAGCACAGCACATACAAGAAGCAGCTCAGAGAAAGCAAGGCTCATGCCACAAACGAGGAGGAAACAAACCAACCTGTGATCAAGATCCGTGGAGGCTCTGCTTCGGAGAAGGAGGTGGAGTGGAAGTTAGTATCTGCTGGGAATCCACCAGGGGAGCTGCCTAGAAACCTCAAGGGCAAGGCAAGCTTCCAGCAGCTGGAGGCTTTGCTCTGTGCTGTCATGCTGGCCACCTGTTTTAGCATCCCGAGGGCCAGCATCTGCTCTTCTGATACTCTGGGAGAAAGAAAGGACAGAGTCCGTTACTAGCCTTACATCCATCCAGCCACTGGAAAGAGCTTCAGTGATTGAGGAATGCACCAGACCTAACCAATGACTTGTCCATAGGAAGCCGTCTTTGAGTTAGGCCCAGGGACAAAGGGATGCAGGTTCACACAAAGCCTAACGTGGGGTAACGCTGAAACCAAATTCCACACTAGAGTGGGGGTTAATGCACAACCAACAAGCACCAGACAACTACAACCAAAAAAACCCTAAACCAAAACAAACCAGCCACCAGATCTGGTGAGGGCTTGCAATCTTGACTATAGTTGCTATCAACCTGTGCACACACCATCTGAGGGAACAAGCAGGTCCCAGACTAAATAGCCAAGTATTGGCCATCTGTGCTAACACTTCAGATGCTATCTATGGAATGACCCAGACTAGGAAAGCAGATGGCTAAAAGAAAAAGGCCTGGCAATATTTAGTAAGCTGCGAACAGCCTGTGTGACTGCCTCATCCTTTGAAAGGATCTTTAGAAAAGCCATTTCCTCAGGGTTTCCATGACCCCACATTTACATTTACATCCCCCCCCCTCCCTTTCCTTGTCTCAGGAAGTTAAGAGATTCAGGCACACACTTGTGTCTGCACTGTAAACTGAAGTTTCCTCTCCCCTATACAAACTACATAGACAGCTGAACGATTAGAACTTGTAATTGTGGGAAGTTGGGATGTTACAGAACCAAAGCCCAATTTAAACTTACTGTAAATCGTAAGTCTCTATAGCAGCCACCAGCTGCTCACCAGTGTGACTAGCTTAACATGACTTATCAGGCAAATCCTTTTAGGATGTACTAACTTAGCAGACTCCCACCAATCCTAAAGCTAAGACTGTCATCAGATAGTATCCAAAACATACCAATGATGCCTCTGCTTTGCTGTAACCCACCTACCTGATGCTCACACCAGTGGGTTTTTCTTTTTTGTTTTTTGTTTTTTGTTTTGTTTTGTTTTTTGTTGGTTTTTTTGTTTTTTTGTTTTTTTTGTTTTTCAAGACAGGGTTTCCCTGTGGCTTTGGAGGCTGTCCTGGAACTAGCTTTTGTAGACCAGGCTGGTCTCAAATTCACAGAGATCCACCTGCCTCTGCCTCCCGAGTGCTGGGGTTAAAGGCGTGCGCCACCACTGCCCGGTTCCAGTGGGTTTTTCTAAACCTTGATTTAAGACATTTTGTTCAGTAATGGATGAAATTGTTCACCTCCAAACTTGAGTGCCTATGACCCAAGAACACAGGTTGAAATACCCCAAATAGTGGGTCATGATTTATGCCACACAGACAATGGTAACTCTATAAGATAATACACTGAAGGGATGTTATAACCAATTAGGTGAGTGATAAAATTATCTACTGATGCATTTCTCACATGTCTCTGCTGTTGTGTGAACATGTATGTGAGCATGACTAGACTCAAGGCAGCGGCCCTCAAATTTCCCAATTTCAAGATTCCTTTACACTTTGTTTTTGTTCTTGTTTGTTTGTTTGTTTGTTTGTTTGTTTGAGATAGGGTCTCATTGTGTAGCCCTGGCTATCCTGAAACTCACAACGTCCCAAGTGCTGGGATTAAGGTGTGTTGCCACCACACACAGACACCTTTATAGTCTTAAAAATTGTGGCTGACCATCCCACGTGAAGGGTTACACTCTGGCCCTGGACACATGGGGAAGGGCCCAGGATGGGGGTGGGGGAGGAGGGTTGGGAGTGAGGGGAGGGAGAGGGAGAAGGGACTTGAAACAAGCTTGTTCCCTAACTAGAACTAATAAATAAATTAAAAAAAAAAATGTGGGCTGAAAGTCGGTTGTGGTGACATATACCATTAACCCCAGTACTCTAGAGGAAGAGGCAAGCAGATCTATTCGTTCAAGGCCAGCCTGCTCTACACAGCAAGTTTCAGGACAAAAACAAAACAAAACAAAACAAAACAAACAAACAAAACGGGGTCTGAAAGTGTATATGAATAATAACATCTGTCAATATTTACTGTATTACATATTGTTAAAATGAGATGTTTATTTTTATTAATTCATTTAATTATGTCAACATACACACACTTATGAAAGAAACTATGCATTCCAAAGCAAAAACAGAAACCATGTAGCGAGAATTGTCAAACGTCAGCTGATTCTCATACTTGCTTCCATGCTCAATCTGTCTTGAGATTTCACTGAATTATCTGAAGAAAATGCAAACTCCCACAGCGAAGTGGTGGGAGAAGCAGATGTTTCCAGATATGCATCTTTGATATTTCTCTAAAGGTCAAATGTTAACTAACCTTTAACTTTGTGTGTGTGTGTGGGGGGGAGGTGTGGGTGTGTGGGTGTTATCTGGACTTGTTAGTCCCAGGTGGCCCAGGTTGTGGCTGGATATCTTTCCTCCATCCCTTTCTCCACCTTTAATTTTTGAGAGGGAATCTCTCACTAAACCTGAAGCGCATGAGTTCTGCTAGGCTGGCTGGCTAATGAATTTCAGGGCTCTTTTTGTCATCCCCACACCCACCCCCAGCATGGAACTTTCTACACAGACAATAAGCATCACACTTGGTGGTTTCTGGAGATCTGAATTCTGTCGACTACATGCATGCATGCATGGCAAGCACTTTATAGCAAAACTGAGCCGTCTCTCAGCCACTTTAATCCTCTTCAAAGGTAAACTGCATGGAAGATCTGATGTGTCATCACTGCCCATCTTGTCACATTTATGCCTGTTGGCCTGTCTAACACACTGGGGGGGGCACATTTTCAAGACAGGGTCTCACTATATAGCTCTGGCTGCCCTAGACTCACTGTGTAGACCAGGCTGGCCTTGAACTCAAAGCAATCCACCTGGTTCTGACTTCCAAGTACTGGAATCTAAAGGTGTGTGCCACCACACCCAGCTCTCTTAGCCTGTTTATAGCTCTGGACTTTTGGGAAATGTTGGTTTGGTGAATCATGAACTTCTTCCAAGTAAATGTTAGCATACTACACTTTGCAATGTCAAAGCCACATTAGCAAATGCCACAAAAGCCCTAGGTGCTGGGAGATTAGCCCCTTTCCTTATTCCTTTGCAGTAACAGACAACTTCATTTTTAGAATCCATCTGCCAGATTCCCAGGTATAAAGATCATGTTGTCAGTTCTTTCAAGCAGCACTAATTCTATATCAACAAGAGCTGATGCTCCAGCTCATGCTTCAGCCCCACAAATGCTTTTCCACAAGACAGCATCACATTTGATAATGGGAGGGGAGCTTTGTGGGTGCTTCCAGTCACCACCCACCATCCTGTAAAGGCCTGCATTCAAAAGCCCAGGCTTCGGAAAATCAAAGGTTCTTAAGGAAGCCGTGAAAATGATTAGAGCCAGCAATTACTTTACTTCTGATTGAAAGCTAGGCATGTGTGGTCCTTCAATTCCTCTGAACCATCAACACAAGTTCACCCCAGCTCTACAGAATGTGAAAAGGCAATTCAACACTTGGGCTATTGATGAGGGATGTCCTTCTATATGCTGTAAATATATGCTTCTCTTATTAGTTGATAAATAAAGCTGTTTTGGCTAATGGACAGTAAGAAAGAGGCCTGGGCATCACCAGCAAGCCAAGACCATGTAGAAATACACAGATTAATAGAAATTGGTTAATAATTAAGAGAGCTAGCCAATAAGAAGCCTGATCCATCAGCCAAACAGTTTATAATTAATATAAGCCTCTGGGTGTTTATTTAGGACTAAACAGCTTCGGGACTGGGCAGAACAGAAATCCCAACCATCTACTAAGAGTCTCCTGTGACTGCTCTGGCATGGATTCATAAGCACAAAAGCAACATGGTGAATCCAGCCACTGGTGTGAATTGATCCATTTGTGAGGAAAAACATACTTCATGACACTAACTCAGTCTTTCTGTATGTAGCTAAGTGTTCTCCAGTCAATACACCACTGGAGAGTAGAAGTGCTGTGATTCCTTTCTGTGTCCTTTCCCCTCAACAAGACATTACTCTGTCTTTGGACAGTGCTATTTGATTATCTGTGTTGTTTGATGCTCGGTCTGGTGACCTGTCCATGTTGATGCAAAGGCTTATTCTAGTCTGAAAGTCTAAAATAATTTTGGGATTTTTAAAATAAGTTTAAACTATCTAGTTAAGTCATTCAAGCCACACTTCTCAGAGGGCTCTAAATGGCTTGTCTTGAAATTAGGCTCCTGGCATCATTGCATTATTTAGGATAGCGGGCTGACAGAAGATCCACAGGGATGCAGGAGGCCGAGGGACAATTTCAGCCCCTCTTACTCGGTTTTCCCCATCTCTCTGGGAAAAATTCCCCTTCATAAGTCAGGGAACTGGCTCAGCATGGATGCTCACATCACCCTTTCCCACACCCACAGGTTCACATGGCATTGTCAGTTGTGGGCTGGAAAGTCAAGTTTCCTGTTATCCTCTGATAAGCCAATAATTTATTCTTTGGCATTAAAATACATAAATGCAGTATTATTGCAGTATTATTCAATTTAAAGGTAATTTGACATTTAAACATTTAGTACAGTTTTCCAGTCGTGATAAAATAGTTTTGCCTTTTGATGCCATTCCTTGTAGATATGGGGAAACTTGAACCCAAGCCAAGAGAACAGGCTTGGAACTGTACAGTAGAGTAAACCACTTTCATCACTGGAGACACATAGTTATCCCCCAAGCATAGAACCTTAGAAGATTCTAGAAGCATAAGAATACTCAAGCATACCCCTTACTAGCTACCAGAGGCCAAACTCAGTCATGGATCTTCTGAGAAACTCCTAGTGCACTGGGTAGAAAATGCAAATAGCATTCTTCCTCCAGTGCTTTGACCTTGTGGACTCTACAAAAAGTCTCAGGGATCTCCACATTTTCCCAGATCATACTCCAAGAAGTTTGCTGGGCCAGAAAGTAAATTTGCAAAGAGCAAACAGATCCTTAGTCCCTCTCTGTTAAAATCCAATAGTAGGCTACGGACTCTCTCCCAAGAACCTAGTAAACTGTAATGGCAAAGGATGAAAAAGAAAGG